ACCCCCCCCCCCCCCCGGGGCAGCACCCCCGGAGCACAGAGCTGCATGGGCCCGTGAGCTCGTGGGAGGGGAGCAGGGTGAGAGGGGGGAGCCCCAACCCTGACGCCAGTTCGCTGTGTGACCCAGCCTGGCTCAGTGCCTCAGTTTACCTGTCGGGGGTGGGGTGGAATGGCACGGGATGGCCAGAAATGGAGGCATTTTCAAGTTTTTCAGCAGAAATTCAAATACTGAAAAGGGTCTGTTTGGCAAGGCTATTGCTGTGCATTCTGGGAGCTGTAGTGTGGGTGCCTCTTTTCCCCACCCCCACCCCTTTATAGGGCGGGTTGCCAGATGGTTTCAACAAAAATACCAGACACACTCGACATGACATCTCATTTAGAAAATCCCGGACAGTTCTATTGTCTCCATTTGTTTCCCGGACAGAACGCTCCAATCCTGGACTGTCTGGCTCAAAACCCAACACCTGGCAACCCTATTTATAGGCCAGGGTCCCAGGTGAGACTACATCTCCCATGATGCACCACAGGCGCTGGGCAGCTGAGAGTCACTGGCCACATTGCATCATGGGAGATGCAGCCACCTGGGCAGCCTGGCCCATAAGGGAGAACCGTGATTTTGGGAAACCAAACTGCGACTCCCATGAGGCACCCAGGCTGAAGTGCGCAGCCCCCACGGCCCGGCCGGCTGTGCCGATCTGGCGCTGGGCACACACAGGTGGATGCTAGAGCTGGGAGGACTATTAAACCCGCTGGGGAGGGGAAATGCAGATTTGGGGACACCACAATGCTGCTTCCTGGGGACCCCCAATGCTGCTCCCACCAGAAACCCCCAGCCTGCTTCCTGGGGACCCCCAATACAGCCCCCTGCCGCAGGAGCCCCCAATGCTGCTCCCCCCATGGGACTCCCCTCAATACCACTCCCCCGTTGGGCTCACCCCCAGCCCATCTGCCTTTGCCTTTGAAGTGGCTATTTGGGGCACTAACCATTCCGTGGGAAGAGACTTGGTGGTTAGTTTGGAAAGACTTTGTGTTGCAAAGTGGCCTGGACAGTCTCACGACTCCACCGTGGGCAAAAGGGCTCAAACCCAGAGCGAAGCATCTTCGCCGCCGCCTGCCGCCCCCGCATCCCCGCCCCGCCCAAAATAACATTTAAAAACTTTCAAAATTGCCAGAAATGTTTCTAAAATCTCCCTGAACTCGCCCTGCTCTGCCACTGCCCAGAAGCCAACAGGCGCCGCGGCCGGTGCTCCCGCCCGCTGCTGAATTCGGTTTGGCTCCAGGGACAGAGCGCGGCCCGGCCCCCGCCCAGAACTTACTCAGGTTGTGCCCGGGGCTCAGCGCCTTGGAGGCCACGCAGCTGTCCACGGATGATTCTGAGGGGAGGCAGGGCCGCCAGGAAATGACACAGCCCTGAGGTCCGGGGTGAGAACCGGGCTGCTCCTCGGAGCCCGGCGGGACGGAATCCTGCGCTGGACCTCGGGGAGGGGTTCGAGCACAGACTGGGGCAGACTCATCCTGGGCCAGCGCTAGGTACAACTTCACTCCTGCTTTGCCCCTGGGGCAGCTCAAAGTACTTTAGCCCCATGTTCCGGGTGGGGAAACTGAGGCACAGAGAGGGGCAAGGGAGTCTCCCAAGTCTCAGGAGGGAGCAGGACTGAAGTGGTGCCCAGGCCTTGTAGGGTTTAAATGGGACCAAGGCCTAACTGCCCCCCCCCACCCGGGGCCTGTGTTGGGCATCTCCCTGCCCTTTCCACGGCATGGGGCAGGGCCCAGCTAAATGAGAATGGGGGTCCTGGATGGATGGGGCGGTCCCTGGGAGGGAACAGGCCTGGCTATGTCTAGGGGAGAGGGTGGGGGTCCCCAGGGCATGTCTCTCACCACCCCGACCTGTTAATGGAGCTGACACTGGGCACGGTGTCGCTGTCGCAGACGCCCTCGGCCAGCAGGCGGTCCCGGATCTCCCAGGCGAACATGGTGGGGTTCTGCCGCTTGTAGTCCCCGATTTTCTCCACCACCTTGGGGGTGGCCACCTTGGGCTTGGAGCCCCCGATGACGCCGGGCCGGATGCTGCCGGTCTCGTAGTACCTACTCCAATAGAGAAAGCGAGAGGGTTACCGGGTAAACCGAGGGAAGCAGACGGCGGGCACAGCTGGAGCACCAGAGCTGGGGGGAGTCTGGCAGCAAGACACTCCCTGCAGACGGAGCCGGGGCCGGCTCCTGGGGGCTCGTCTTGCAGCCCAGCCCTGGATGGCTCAGGGAGAAATAGCAGCAGGTTCCTCCCTGCACGGAGATCAGGGCATTCGGGGCGTCACAAAGTGTGTTAGCCCCAGATGGGGAAACTGAGGCACAGAGCGGGAGCAGGGTGTCCCCGAGTCTGGGATGGGGCATTTGTAAATAGTCAGGGGGTGCCAGGCTCAGGGAACTATGTCAGCTGTTACCCGGCCAGGCACGGCCTGGGACCTCCTGCTGTGCCCGTCACAGTGGTGTCCGGTGCCCCTTGGGGCCCGTGGCCTGGGGCTGGGTCAGTACGTAGTGCCAACAAATGGCCTTCCCCAGGCCGCCCCTTCCAAGCCTGCGCCAGCCCTGCCGGACCGTCCCCCGTAGGTAGCTCAGGCACAACCCCCTGCC